GGGGCCGTGTGCACAAACCGGGTACAATGTGCCACCTCACCAGTGGATGCTGGATATAGACAACCTGGGTTCCGGTACAACATGGATTGGACTTGCGTAAATTGATCAAAGAATCACACAGCACTCCAGGGGCACAGCATAATTCAAGGCAAACAATCTTCTGTTATTTTTCTTTCTAAACCCCAAAGCTGAAACAACACCGGCCGTCCAATACCTGCCTTCCCGTTCCTTCACTGATTCAATGACAATACCCGGATTTTTTCCACCGAAAAACATCTCAAAACTGCAACTGAACCTGTGAATGAGTGGGATGACAGATATTGACTGCTCAGAGTTGACCACAAAAGATTAAAGTTTGTAAGCAATCAAAGACTAATTTAACCCAGCAGGCACTCCATGAGTGTACAAAAAACGCCTGTCAGGTGAAGAACTTGATGCCTCGCAAAATGATTGCTTTCTCCCGACCTTTGAGCGACCAAGTCCACTGGTAACAGACGGAAGAGGCGCTTACCTAACAGCGGGAAGGTTGAAGAGGATAACTAAGAAACCTTGGGAGACTGTTAATCTGATGGTCTGATGATTTGGTGAAAGGTCAAACAAGTCTCGCATTCTTGTGTCTCCATATTCAGAATATGTAAGAAATACTATCAGTTGGCCGACAGGTATAGCCGCACCGGCGAAAGTGAGCCACCTAGACGGTATCAATCGCAAATTACTCTCATCATAGTGAGAGACACAAGAAGACGAGACGAGAATGACCGGATGGTGAGAGGAGGAACGTACCATAAGAGTGACGAAATTGTCGTGCAATGTCGAACGAAAGATGAAGAAGAAAAGAAAAAGGAAAATTGTCGAAGATGGACTCGCGGCAGATCCGACCTACCGTTTGGGCAGAAAAGCTAGTGTTTTTCGTCACTGGCTCAGTTTTGTGATACGAGCAGTTTGTGTGGTGTAGCTTTTCTGCAACTGGGGATCGAAAGATCACTGCAGTTGTCCGACGATCAACATCGGCGCCATCGCGGGCTGGATGTTGTGCTGTTGTTGGAGTCGTGTTGCGTTGTGTTGCGAAGTTGGGAAGCAGAAGCAAAAAAAAAAATTGGCGATTGAGCTTTTGAGGACGTTGAATTTTGCAGGTCCGATTAGATAAGCATTTTTTTTCTGCGGGTGCGTGGGTTAGGTGTGGGGTTTCAGCTGGCCACGGACCGGCAGTTGTTCCCCCCCTTTCAAGCTCACTGTTTCACACTGCTTGCTGTACCCGAACCCTGCAAACGCATGCGAGGCAGTGTGACTGGGACTGTAAGTGATGGTCGTCGGCAATGGGCATAACACTGAGCCTAGGGAAAGAGATTGGCCGAGTCTGGTGGTAAAAGGGAAGAGTCCCATCATGGTGATTGGTGATGATCGTCAACAAATGTGAGACCACACCAGACACCGGCCACCTTCCCATTCAGCACGACAGCCCTGAAACGTTGCACATTGCAATGCAGAGAAACATGGAATACTAGACTCTTCTGGCTCGGGATTATTGCCGGCAGTCTTCAGCTTGCTTTGTAGATGCATGTTTCTGATTATCTATGTCCCTGTACCATGGGCATGACTGTGGCAGACGCCGCTGTCCTTGTCTGTTTCAGTGGAACCAAACTGTCGGGAGGGACATGGTATGTATTGTTCACGTCGCCGAACTTGGCAGGCGTATGGTTTCAAGATTGAGAGGACAGTGTGTTGATTTACCGAGGGAAGGGTGCCCACAGGTGGCCGAGGCAGTATGGGTTGTCTGGCAAGAGTGTTGATGAAAGTGACATCCCTTTCACATGATGTTGATACATGTTGATCTCATAAGTTGATCAGAATTTGAGGGTATCATGAGTCAAATAATATTATCGTAATAGTTCCCTGAGCCCCACGCCGAACTTTTCTCTCTCATCCCCTTCTCATGTCCCCCAGCCACCAAGCAACGCCAGTAAGAAGCAATCCCCCCCCCAAAGCCACCAGATAAGAATACCAAAATCACAACCCCATGTCCAACTTTTACATACCCCATACACCGCCATTGATGCCCCCATTGTATTATACAGTTTTGGTGATTGAGCCAGCTCTCTATAGGCAAGGTGTACCGCAAGTTCCGCAGGCTCGACCCTCGATGACCCAGGTCTCGAGGCCCTTGGCCGCACATGTAGGGCAACGGACACCGGGAAACTAGCAGAACGGTCAGACAGATGATTCACCCTGGATTATCGGGCTATCTTTGGTCTTTCTTACCAGTCCCTGATCGGTGTTATCTGATGGTTGAGAAACAGTCATCGGGCAGACTGGCGACTGACCACTTGTGATAGACATGGTGAAGGGTGAGGTGACTGTAGGCTTTTGAAGTGTCGCCGTCGTCTTTCTGAGGAGGCTTTGGGTCTAGAGGTTGTGATGACAAAGTTTCAGAGCGTGAGAGTCCGGAATTGAGCGAGTCTCGAGTGCTAGAGATGGGATGAAGTTTCGAAGTGAGGACGAGATATGGCTGTTGTGCTTGAGATGTGACAGATGGCCAAAGAGGATGTTGTAGATACTTATACTTTTGTGTCCGATGGCGTCAACGTCACAAACTCCTAGGTTGGGTGTCGAACGAGGCTAACAGCAGGGGGGACAAGAAACGAAGCAACTCGGCTATCACCAACGATTATCGTCAGTCTCTTGGATTCGAGGCGTTCAGGAACACAACGGGAACTCGTCGTCTGATCGCCGGTGAGTTTCCGGTGGAAGAATACGGGGACTTGCAGATAGCATGCTAGTGTTCCAGGTGCCAGTTGGGTTGCCTTGCCTTTTGATAGCCACAGGTGGATTGGTTCCACCGAGGGGTGGGAGTCAAGAAGTGACATCTTTGCTCTAGTACAAACAAAGAATAGGAAGAGGGGAAGAAAAAAGGGAAATGGCTTTCGAAGCCCCACAAATCGGCGGGTAGCAAGGGGAGAAAATGACAGACCCTGATGAGCACCCGATCTCTCGGCCGTTGTTACGGATGGTGCCGGTTCAGCCACCATTACGCACAACTTACCACACCTACACTACCCACGATTCAAAGATATACCAGGATTGCAAACGCAAGAACAGGGAATACGCTCCGGGCCGACTTTGTAGGCACCCAGTACAAGCACAGCACAGTACAGTCCAAGCCCAGGGCAATGGATACTCATCGTGGTTGCTCGTGGTGTCTCTCAAACGGTGTCGGACCGCGCGATAGCAATAGGAGGTGCATACTTTGTACATCAAGTGTCCCCGCCCGCCCTAGGCTGTTGATTTCAGATATTTACGCAGGTTGTTTGCATATTGGCCCCGTTAGCGTTCGAGTGCCTGATCGCAGAATACCTTGCAACCGGCCGCGGGTGGCAGCTGGGAAAAGCATGGGAGTTGTGTGATAGCTGCGATTCGGTTCGATGCGTCGTTCGTTTCCCATGTTTTTCGTTCCGTTGACAGCCGTTTGAAAATAAAAGACAAAAGCATAAGTTCGGTGAGCAATCGGCTGTCGGCCGTTGGTTTCCGCCTGTGCCACATCCGGTGGTCCCAGGTCCCGTTCGTTCTTTGCCTCCGTCTTCTGTCATGTTTGACCAGGGCAAGCAGACGGATGGTGGTGAGTGGTCATATCGTCGGTTCTGTGCCCCGCCGTTTGAAAAGCTCTCTGCCCTCTCCTTCCTCTCTTTTCTCTGCTTTCCATCAATTATTAGCTCAACCGGCTCGCCGAAAGCCTACTCACACTGTGATTCGTGCATGCGCAAGTCGACGACAAGAAGTCGTCACGGAACTGGGGTATCATCAGCGCTCTGCCCCCCTGTGCGCTGCTGGGCTGGTGAGACATTCAGGCTGCGTCTGGCCAATCAGCGCCTCGTGAGGGACGCAAGAAAACAACCGGATCGACAGCCACCAGTGATTTGCTGGGACTTCAAGGGTTCCCCATCGCTGCAAATCATCACGATCTCGGCACCGCATCCCTGGTGAGCTGCGAATGCCATCTGTGAGATCGATTCCATCTCACTTGGGCCCCTCCGATGCTCTTGGCTGCAGAGAAACTACTCTTCTTCGAGGGTCAATAACGGACCGTTTTGCTCCTTTTCCTGCTATAAAGCCAGTGCTTTTTTGGGAGATATCCGGGTAAGAAACACCGCAGCACCCCCACTGGCCAAGCTGACCTGGCGGTGATCTTTGTCTTGACGGTGCGATCATTGCCGCGCCTCACGCAGGCACGACCTACATGCCTGGTGGTAAATCCCGACATGTGCTACGCTTGTGGACTTCAAGACACCATAACCAGCTGGAGACGGTGCAAAGCAGGACAGAGACTCGAACTTTGTATCACAGTCCCATAGCATAGACACCAGACAACGGAAACCTGCGTTTGTTACCACGCCGTCCACGATGGAGGTTTTTGTGGCCTGATATCAGGTTGGTTTGCGATGCCATCGGCCAGCCCTGCCTGGCGGTGAAAGGGTCGTCGATTCCCTCTCACTCAGCACTTTACGCAACCAGCCGGCCAGAAGTGATGGCTCACTTACAACCACCAGTTGTGCGATAACCAACTCGACGTGGACAGCCGCCGTTGACACCGAAATCCCGAAATCTTCAGAGCGAAGAATGTTCTCTGGCCGTTCATATCAACCCTTCCCACATTTTTCGGGTCACACAAGAGTAACTACCCCCGAGAACCGGAACCCCCCCTTCCCGCTTTTCCCTGCTCTTCTGTACTGGGCAGACCACGAAACAGCGCCACGAGGGCATCACAGCGAAGTGTTTCTCGGGTACTGCACGCTAGGTCATGCAAAGCTTGTTACACAGCGGACGCTGTCAGCCAGTGCTTCTACGGGCGAGGGTAACATGAGCCAGACTGTCGGGAACGAATGAGAACTCGCGGAATGGCTCCCTGTTGCAGTTGTGTCTTGTCTGTCACCCTTTTTACCTTGCAACGCCGAGGCGTCGCTTCCTATTGTTGACAAGAGAATCGATACTACCACACAGACAGACAAAGGCACAAGATTCGAAAATACCTCCTATCCATCATGTAGGCACATCTATCCTCTACATCTTGCCGTGTGCTAGCTATCTTGTACAGCGCCCGGGTCTAAGTAGCAAATTGCTAATCATCTGCCTTGCCTGTGCTTGCACCCTCACCGCCGGTCATTCTGCACATATTGGCTCGAAACTTCTCCAGGTAGTCAGTGTAGGTGCTTCCACCTGGCCCCCTCAACCTTGTGCCACCCTTAGCGGGAGTAGGCTCCGTGGCATCATCCCGCTTGCAGACAACGGTGTTGAGATATCTCTCATTTGCGCGCGGGAGGCAAATGACAGAAATAATGAGGCGGTCTAGATTGGGCTCTGGGGTCTTACGGAGCCGTGGTGACAGGATGACTAGCAGACTTCTTTCTTGTGTATTCATGCCACGACAGATCCGTGTGTACATACGCGGAAACTGTTGCCTTGACATATACGACGCATCACCTATCATACCTATCACTGCTGGAAACCATCCCACAGAGACTAGTTGGGACGGGATACACGGTAGATACTCTGTCGCAGCTGGAAACCATACCACGGAGACAACTGGTGGGATGAACGAGATGCTTGATATCAATCAGTATGCCACAAGTGCAAGAGTACACAAAAAAAATATTCAAGACGCAACGTTGACGCCATGCAAATCTCAGTTTTGCTTTGCCTGTTATGTCCTGTCCTGACTAGACAAGAACGTCTGTAATAACAACTTTGATGGGGTATCCTATTCCAAAAGCTTTCCTCCTTATCCATTCCATCCAAGGCTCCCATTGCGAGCTCATCCCATATAGAAGTAAAAAAAAAAAAAAAAAATATGGTAAATAAATAAACGACAACACCAGATCACCAAATCGCCAACTCCCTCCGCTTTGATCAAAATGATAAAATGCCTAGTCAGGTGGATATAACGACGAAACAACGCCCGCTTCGCTTGAAAAAAAAAGGGGAAAAAGAGAAACTTGCCCTCCCTGGTAAAAATTGATGAGAAGGGAATGCTAACCCCCTGAAAATAACAAAACATACGCCAGGATATCTATGCTTCGCTTGCTTGCTTGCCTTGGTGTAAAAAATTTTTTAAAAAAATGGTAAATATGCCAGCAGAAATGAATGAGATGGTGCAAGATGGCCTCCGGAGTCACACATTCGGCGGCGTGTGTTTCCCCCCCCCCGGTCAGTTGAGGGTGTTGATTACGCAGGCGTCTCAGCCCGAAAAACCTTCTCAACCTTGACCAACAACTTCGCGTGCTCCGTCTTTCGACGAGTCTTGGACAGCAGGTCAATACACCGGTACCCGGTCTGCAGCCTGTCAAGGCGGATGCAGGCCCAAGCCATGAGGTTGTCGCGGATGGAGGAGCTGTCCTCTACTTTGAATCTGTACGCGTGTTGCTGTTAGCCACTGCTTGTAATAAAAGGACACAGATGGGCGGGATGAGAAGCGGTGTGGTTTCCGGAACGGAGCGGGAGGCGGTTGTCCGTTGCGTGACATGACGGCGAGGCGGTCAGAAGCAAAGAAAATTGTTTTTTTCTCGTCTTCCGTATGCCCCCCGTCTGTCGTTCATCTCGCCGGTTCCCGCTCCGCCCAGCCTCTCCCGGACTTGTTCTGGCCTCATTCTGTGCTGCACAATTCCGAACGCGCCCGGCTTCCGTGATGTGCAAACGACAACGGCCGGCCAGGACGGAAAGCCGCAGAGGAAAATTCCTCTCCTTCGGTTTCCCCCGAAAGAAAGAAAAAGCGTACCTCACAAAACTCAACCCCTCAATCACATCCTTCACCTCAAAAAAGTCCAACGACTTGCTGTCATACCCCCAGTCAGGATTATCCGTCTCCGCCACCACCGTCTCCTTGACCAAATCCTGATTCCCCCCCTTTTGCTTCTCCACATGCAGTTCAACCTTCACCATCGGCCTGAATTTCCTATCCCCCATCACCCCCACCCCGCCTAACTGCCTCCTGTCCCGCGGTAAGGGAATTGCCTGCCCTGCCAGGACGGTAATTCGCAAATCCAATGTTCGCCTGGGGATGTTCTCCACGTCAACGTTTTCGTCACTCAACAGTCCTGGGGGCTTCAACACCCAGCCGTGAGTGTTCGCAAACATGGCGTCGTTGATCATCATCCCTTCGTCGGTGCGCTGCCAGTTCATGGCTACCATTTGGACCCCCCTTCTCCAGTGGAAAGAGGGGTCGGGGTTGCTGCTGTCTACGCGGAGACCCTTGGGGTATATCCTCATGAAGAAGTCGCGGTTGTGTGAGAGGAGAGTTCGGATTTTGGTAGCGTCGTGAGCCAAGGCGTGGAAGCAGTCTTCACTGAGGCTGAAGATATGGGATGGGGTGCGGGAGTGGAGGGACTGGTGGTCGTCAAAGTGCTCGCTGTGGGTGTAGATCGCCAGGTCGGCCAGGGGCTTGGTAATGGGTGGTTTGGCTCTGATGGAGCTGATTCCGAGCTTCCTCCCGCGCTCAATCTCGTCTTCGACTTGCTTGTCAGATATGCGCTTGACTTTGATGAGGATTTTGTTGTAGAGTTCGTTGAGCCTTGGTTGTTGTGTAATGTGGTCGATGTGATCGAATGGCTTGTCGAGGAGGTAGCCGTCCCACTCTTCTTTCATGATTTGGACCATCATCTCTTGGTGTTCCTTGTCGGCGCCAACTTCGAGGGAGACAATGATGGGCAGGGGGTTCCTTTGGAACGCGGTTTCGCGGACGGCGATGCAGACTTCGCGGAAGCTGATCATGGAGGTCATGGTGCCGTGGTGGTGGACGACGGGCTCACCGTTGAATTTGTCCTCCTTGGAGCGAGAGGAGGCCCGGGATCGGCTTCCGACGAGGTCTCGCGGATCGAGGGTGGTAGAGCTTTCCCGCGTTTCTAGAGTTGAAAAGGTGGTTTGGGCGGCACTTGGACTCCGGCTGTGCTTGGATTCGAGCGATGAGAAGGCGCCTTGGGGGGCGCTAGGGCTACGGCTGTGTCTGCTCATGAGGGCATCGAGCCTTTCAGCGGCAATTCGCGGTATTGAGTTTGATGAAAACTGACGCCGGTGTTCCATTTGTGGCGATTTGGAGGGTGTTCGGGAGGTACTACGGGAGTTGGGATTGTTCCAGACGTCAATCTCTATGCAACGGCAACCGTTGCTGAGAACCTCGCGATAGGCATCAGCCGTGCTGTTGGACGAGAGCTGATTACCATCCAGATATGTGTTATGGCTGCTGCTAATGAAGTAGTTGCTGATCGGTTTTGAGGCGTCTAATTCCTCATGCCTCCTCACGGCAGACCACGCGGACTCATTTTGACTCCATACCCAAAAGAAGTCTTGGAAAGAGTACGACTCTTGGGTCAACGGCTCCACCCACAAGGCGCCTTGTGTTCCCTTGAGAAAGGCCTCGAACTTTTCTCTTCTTAGTGTCTTTTCGGACCCTCGTGCGATGTTGTAGACGTAGAGGATGTGTCTTCTGATGGAGTCATGGCAGGTAAAATGTGGGCGTATATTTCCACCCATCCCAGCCGACATAAGGGCAGCTTGGAGCATGGCCGATCTCCCCTGACTTGGAGCTCCGCGTCGAAGGGTTGTCATTCTGCGAATAAAGTTCCCCTTGCCCTTTTTCTTGGGCGGCTCTTCTCGCCCGAACTGCAATCCCACGCCATGCATTAGCCTCCTGCCTGGTAGTATTTCCCAACGGCTTACCAAGAACAAGAACGGCACAGACTTACCCTTATGCAAAACATTTTGCCTGGCGATTGCCAACTGGCAAAACCCGCCGTCTGAAAATACACAAGCTTCTCGGATTCGCGGTCAAAGGTTCCCTGCAGTCACGGTTCGTGTTGGATGGGGGCCTATGGCTATCGACACATTGGCTCGTCTGCGAGGCTGGGGGATTGCGGCAGCCAAAGCTAGCCCAGCCGCAGAGTTTGTAGGCGTAGTCAACGATATACGGGTATGTACAGCGAGGTTTGGGCTGGAGGGAAGAAGAGGTGTGAGTGAGAGCCTCGAGCCATGAAGAAAAATAAGGACGAGGCAGCGTCTTTCTTTTGGGGAAGGGTGGTAGAGGATAAGCAAAACGGGGGCAGGCATGTCAGCAGTACCGAAGACCAAGCGGAGCCTTGTCCCGCATCAAGAGTTCGCTGCTGCCAATGGATCCACGAGGAATGCCCCGCCCTCCGCTGATCCCTGTCCAACGACCCCGAAGATACGGTTCAGGGACAAAAACCACACGACGGCTTGACACAAGCCATATCGCTTTGTAATCCATCTCCTCCTCTGCCCAAAGCCGTCAATTCTCAGGTAATCACGTTTTGGTCCAAGTCATACGGAGATGGCCCCAAAGCAGCATCAAGAGAGCTGCGTACCGAATCCATCCCCACAGTTGGGGGCCTGGAGAACAAGGCCTAGCTCCCCAGCCCAGCGTAACAGCGATCATGGCTGTGCAACAAACTCGTTCATTTCTCATTTGTTCACACATTCTCCAACCATTTTGCTGACTTTTTCTCCAGATGGACCACCTGTTCTGCCCAGGAGACCGCTGTTCCCCATCAGCCCTATCGAATCTCGTGCCCTTGGCTCAAGGACAGAGCACTTTTTGTCCCGCATCTCCATCCACTCGATTTTTGATGCCTGTCGTGGCTGAGCTGCTGCCAGTCTGTTCGACCCCTTGATTTAGAGTCTTTCTGAGGACACAGCATATTACATTAGCTAAGGTAACGTCACTCAAACTTCAGCAAATTGAAACCGGCCCAGCCAAGCGCGGTAGAGAAATATCGTTGCGCTCTCTATAGCACTGTGCCGCTGGAATAAGGGGGCTAGTTCAAGCAAAACACATCATCAAATCAACATCGCAGTCGTCGCCGTGGTCGCCTTGGGCAGAAACAAGGCCAAAATGCTTGACCAAACCACTGGACTTCTCCATACCCAATCCAGCACACTGACTTGCCAAACTACTGCTGTAGCAATCACCCACACGGCGAATGACTACCCACACAGAGTATGTGGTTCAAGTCGCCAACTCGGCCCAGTCCGCATACGCACAGCCTCCTCAGTTTTGAGGCACAGCAGACACCACGCAGGACCCAACCACACAACCGCAACGCAGCAGCTTCGGTCCTGTCCGGCTGGGCCTTGCATCAATTGCCTTGATGTTCTTTTCCGCAGAATCCACCGTGTCTCCATCATTTTGACATCTCACAACTGGGTTGGAGATGCCTGAGGAATATTATCCTCGAACCTGTTGATTCTTGTTACCCAAAGATTCCCACGGCTGGCTACACAAGCGAATACCACCCAAGAAAAGTACCATACAGTAGCGCAGCTGTAGGTAGCTCCCCCGCAAAGAGGACGAAAAGGAACGAGGCACGCACCGCCCTCCCGCAGTTGACGATTAACAACAAAAGCCGAAAGGAAACGCCCCGCGGCCGCCATCACGGCCGGACCTTGCGGTGACCTTTAAACCCATCCGATCTTCGATGTATATCTGCAGGGCCTTCCGAACCTCAGACCCTCGAGCATCTGCAGCGGCATGCCACTTCCCTCCCCGGTGACACATGTCACAACTGAAAAGTCCGTCTAATATCTACTCAGATCTACCGGTGTGTACTCCAGCAAGGGTTCGCCTAGTCACCCGTCGAATCTCGAGTAGAGAGGGAAGCTTTTAACAGGAGATAATGACGTCTGTTGTCAAACCCAACCCCAAAGATAATCTTTAGACAAGCAGCACAGCCTCGGAGCAGCCTCACCTACATACAGGTTCTCCACTCCAACGCATATTCAGGGTAGTCAGGTACCAAACCCTCCGCTCCCCCACCACGACCCTGACATTGGACTCAACCACAAAACCCAAACTTGGATTTTCCGGAACGGACGGCGTACTGACCTCTGTCTGGATATGTCACTGTTGCCATCTTCTCGCCGGGATACGCCGGCGGGCCGCTTTGAAACCGACGAGAGAAACATGACACAAGTCTCCCACAAATGATATACCTGGTGACAGGTGGTAAGTAATGGCGACAGTGGGTTCAGCAATCTTACTCTATCATAGTCCTCCATCTAGCTCTCTCTTCCGTACGTTCTTTCGCTCAACTTTCCCATCCCTCGCCGCCCCCCCCCTTCTCCCGTACGCCAGTCACCCCTGACACCGGAGACACCGAAAGAACGTTGCTCACCACCCATACACACCACATCTGGAAACAAACATGCAGGAACTCTCCCCAATTTGGAACACCCACCCACACACCACCATCACCGCATAAGCAACACGCTGACCCGAAAACTTGGTAACCCGCGCCCATTGGGCAAGTCATCTTTGCAACTGGCTACCCCTAAGCATCCCCCACTCTCACCACAAACACAGAAGCAGAACACAGACAAAGAACAAAGTGATCACATCTCCAAAATGTCTCTTATTCTCCCCCTCAACAACCCCACGCATATACAGAGGTTGGAGGGTACACGAATATGTATATAAATAATACAAGCCAGGTCCCCCTCCCCCTCTCCCTCAATCACCACCACACTACTGGGCCAGACCAAACCACCTCCATCCAGAAATCCCCTTCAATATTTCAAAACAAAAAAATAAAAACGTCCGTCCCTCCCTTTGTGAACCAAACTCTCCCCTATTCCAACTTCCAACTGGGTATAAATGTATGCTTTCTCTCCTTCCCTACCCCTTAAACAAAATAAAACAAAAGCGCCACTCCCAACAAGAATAAAAATCCGTAAAATGTGCAAATATGTTTCCATGGTAAATGTACAATAATTCCTACACAGCCTTATTCAAGCCGGTATTAGAAGTTAACAAGTTGCAAGGAAATGCCTGACGGAAAAGTTCGCGGATAGCGATGTGTGATGTGGATGTTCATAATGACGACTGCGACATTCGTCAGTCGAAAAAAAGAAGGAAGCGCCGTCTATGCGGGATATCATGATAAAAAACGACAACGCTAGGAAATAATCATGCGTTTGTGTGTGTGTATGTGTGTGTGTGTGTGTGTGTGTGTGCCCGCTCACATCATCCCCAAATAGGGGCGTTGCGATAGGCGGGCGAGTTGTAGCTATGCAACACTCGGTAGGGGGGTTTTGGTCCATACGAGTTTTGCAAGCTCATGCTGCGCTTGCGATAATGTCCTCGTGGCACCTGGGGGTAAGATGCATCCTGGTACCACTGCCCAGCCGAGGCATCAAGCTGACTCCGGCTCCAGGTGCTGGCCGGGGTGTGTTGCTGTTGCGCATAGCGCGGTTCATACACTGGCTTGGAGGTTGCTGTGTAGCCATTGGACATGGAGGGAGGATGTCCAGCTTGTGGCCGTCTTGCGAACTGGTTCCACTCATCGTGACTGGCCCGGTGCCTCAAGGGCTGCTGCTGCTGACTTGACCGCATCTGCCATGGCTGAGCACTGCTAGGGCGCTTGATGACATCCTCTTCGTGCTCCTGGACTGAGCTGAGTGAGCCCCGCCTGCTGCCACCATTCATCGATGTGTATGAAGGCTGGCGGGAAAGTCCGCCGTACTCAGACTGAACTTCCCAGGCGGAGGGCCTGTTGCTCGACTGACGGAATGCTGAAAGGCGGCGGGGATCCATTGTGGGTGCAGCAGAGGGCAGAGCCGCGTCCGGAATCATTCCTTGCTGGTATGATGGGTAGCTGCGAATACTCTCCCTGCTGGGCTTCCTCGAGAGGGATTGAGCAGCAGGATAGCTCTGAATGCTCTCGCGGCTGGCCGTGCGGTGAAGACTCGAGTTGGATGACTGTGATCGTAAGGGCGGTGGCACGCGAAGGGACATCTGGCGCCTCGTCGCCATACTAACCGGAGGTGGTGTGTTGGTCTTGCTGCTCATGGACATCGCCTTGGCGAGTGGGCTAGGAAGCAAGGGTGATGGAAGCGAAGCAAGCAGTTCGGTGTGCGCGATGGCATACCTCGTATCCTCCTGGTCCTCGTCTGGGGGCGAGTAGATGACTGCACGACCACCCACCAGAGCATCAAGTGTCGCTTCGTGAGAGTGCCTAGGCGAGCTGTTGGCAAATTCAGAAACAAGCCGTGGCCTGCCATCCACGCTCCTTCGGTTCTCCAAACTCTGCCGAGCTGCTACAGGCTTCCGCACGATGGGCTTCTTCGGCATAACTTGCGAGGCGACGTGCGCAATGTGCGTGGGCACAGAGTGCATGGTTTGCCTCCACGAACTCTCCTTTGCGCTGTGCTCTGCTCCTGATTCAGCAGTAGCAGGAGGCTTCTGAGCCGTGTGAAGGGCATCGAGACTAGCCTCCATGCTTCCAACACTGAAAATGGTCTTCAGAGTATCCAAACTGGCTCGAGGCCTCAGTGCCAGCCTCTTGGTCGTTATGGGAAACCTGCCATTGTGCTCCTGAAGCTTGCTTTCCACCTCTCTCGGTATCGACGGAATGGCGTTCTGCTCAACAGCATGTGTCGCATGGGCTTCCAGTGGGCCAGCTGCAGAGCGGCGAGCACTGCTTAGGAGTCTCTGGAGTCTGTTGGGTTTCTGAGGCTTGGTCCCAATGCTCAAGGTAGATTTGTCAGACTTTGACGATTTGGCACTGACAGGAGTGGGGACAGATTCGGGAGACGCTGGTCCGCGATCACGAGATCGGAGGTTCTTGATTGGAGTCAGAGAAAGCGGCGCCCTAGAGTTTCCCGCTCTGTTGAGGCTACTCTCCGGAGCTAGGTTGCTGGTGGAGCGGCTCGATTGTCTGGCAGACCTTGGGTTGGGCGACGGACCCGGGCTCTCGCGGCGAGCATCTTTCGGAGGTACTGGAGGAGGCGGTGCTTCTCTCGGTGGTGCTATGACATAGGCCGGCACAATCTGCTCCCGCTCATTGGATCTGACTGAGCTGCTCCGGCGGTTTGCTTCCGACCGGCCCTCAAGCGAGCGCATGCTCTCCTTCTTAGAAGGTTGATCCTTCGCCTTGAAGGAGCGGAGAGAAACATTTGAGCTATAGCCGGAATCGGCTTTTGTCAATGGCTTGTGCGGGGATTCGGGGGAGGGGCTCGTCGTCGAGATGAATCCGCTGTCGCTTCTGGACAGAGCCTTGGTCGGAGTGACTTGAGATGGCTTTGCACTGGGATCCAGACGAACATCCAGAATTTCGGCAGCTGCAATCTCCGACAGAACATCATCCTCGAACAATGAATCCTCCTGGGCGGTATGCTTGGATGTGGTCTGCAGTCGCGGGCTTGTCGGAGGAGATAAACGGATAGAGAGCGGGCTGATGTTGACCTCCTTCAAGTATTGTCGAGTGCTCGTGACAGAGACGCCGTCAGAGACAACGCTTGTCTGCTGGCTTACAACGGTGGTGGTGGTGGTGGTGGTGTGACTGAGCCCCGCAGCATCTGGCTGTTGTGTAGGTGGTAGTGCAGCGGTAGTCGGGTTTGTCGTGCTGCTCTGGTCCGAAGCTGCCGTGTTGGCAAAGTAGTCATCATCTCCCCCCAACTTGAACCGACTTCCACCTTTTCTCTCCACCTCCGGACTCGAAGGGCTGGCGGGCCCGTTCGTGATACGCAAAGAACCCAACTTATAACCACCAATTGACTGATAATCTTCCTCGCGCGGCGTTACCGCTCTGGGAATCGACTCGATATCATCAATCCGAGGCGGCATAGAAACGATTCCATCTCGGTACGAGTCGAAAGACGGTTGCCTGGACAAACTTGGGGTAGGAGGGTGACTATATCGTGGATTGAATCTCGGTTGTCCGGGAACGCTGCGCATCGAATTTGCTCGGGTAGCGACGCCTGGCGTTTGGATGATGGATCTTCGTCGAACAGGCATATAGAGCGAGACTTCCGAGTTGGCACGGGTGACCGAGGTGCTCGGAGGGTTCGTCGGATTGGAGCTCTTCCACGTGGTCTCGGTGACAACCGTCATCCGATTCTCTGACATGGTCGTCGCATGTTCAAGCCCTGGTTCTTCGACGAGATTCAACAAACGCTTAGCCTCATATGACGTCAAGTTATAGTTCCAAGATGTCCGGCTTCTAGGTTCGGATGACCACCTGTGCAGACAGATGTTAGCAAGACTTTCAAGACCCAGCAATCGCCACAGACACAGAACGTACTCCTCAGGCTCAGGCGGCCCATAGTATGCGACTGCCGACTCATACGTCAACGAGTTGGCCCTGTTCATCAGATCCACCATCCTCGATCCCGACCCAATACTATCCCGATGGTCAGCGTCAGGCACAACTTGGGTTGACCTCACGCGGAACAGGCTTCTTCGTTTGGATTCCTGTTGCAGAGCTGGGACTGATGTGAACGAGGCACTGCGGCCGTTGCGTGTCTGGGCAGTGTCGGCCTGGTCAAAAACCGATGAGGTTGGGGTAGAAACCGGCGAGGGAGAAGACAATGGAGGATCTGGCAGTGGGCGGTTGGAGTATCTCTTGGGGTTATTTGAGGAGCCGCTGGGGCTCAACAGACCGGCTGTGGCATGATTGTTGGTTTTTGGCTTGGACAGCTTCTGGGAATACCTCCGGGCTGTCTCAGTGGACTGGGCGTTTCCCATGGTGCCAGGAGTGGGCTATGGGGCAGTAGCCCACCGAGGGTCGACGGCAAGAGTGTTGCTATGCGGATATTGCGGGTGCCATGCCGTTCCAATGCTGCGTGGTCCAGGAGTGATGTGCCGCGGTGAGGTTCTCGGGGGTTATGGGACAGCAATCAAGTCAAGACACGGGGCGAGAGCAGCCGGCTGTCGGCTGGGAATAATTCGGAAACGGGGGGTGGTGGGTGGGAAGGAAAGGAAAAAGCTGAACTGAAAGAAATGGAGTTGAACAGCCACACAAATGGGCCCAGCAGAAACCAGCCTGCCCTGGCTCAAAGGATGGCGTGTTTCCTGGGATTTGTTTGGCCTCTCGCTCTGGCACTGGCGAGGCTGGAAGAATCCGAGACGTATAGTAGACGTCGAAACACGACTGGAAGAAGGCAAGAAGATGGGAGCAAGACAAGAGAGAGGGACTGGATGGGGGGCCCGGAGGGGCGCGCGCGGTTGCTTTGTAGATGTAACAAGTCTTGGTTGTTACATGAGGTGCATGCGCCTGAGCCAGGGAACCCCCCTTCCCTTCTGTTCAGGGAGCACAGGAGCAAGAAAGTGGGGCTGCCCAGAGTGGGACGTGCGCCAGCTCCATCGTTGAAGAGATCAAGTGAGACCAGAACAAACACCGTCTGATCCCTGCCTCCAGCTTGGAGCCTACAGCCCGGCCTACAGAACGTGTCTCTTCCTGCACCCGCCAACCTCCCTCCTGCTTCGGTCCGGCTGCGCGGTGAGAAAGGGCATGTTCAAGTCTGTCGTATAGTTGACAGATGGCGATGGATGGCAGGGTGCAGCGGTTTCGCAGCTCCAGATTCAGTGGCCGCATCTTTGGTTCCCTTGCACCTGTTCCTGCTACCACCATAAAGCCTGATTTGTCCCTTGCAATGATACACGACGTACCAAACAAGACGGGTGGCCGGACAGCCAATGAGTCGAACAACATAATTTATTCTCTCTTGCTCTCTTGCTCTACAATATCTACATACCATGAAGACCAGGCCTGAACAGACCAAGATCAGGACTCGGTGAAGCGGGGTCCTTCAGTGTTGGCGATATCTGTTTCAGATGGGAGAGCTCCGGAAATCCACACCTCGTGCCGTCTTTACATGTCTCAATTGGGCACTGTTGAGGACCTTATCCCAGTGAGCTTGCCCCAAAATGGCTTCGACGTCTGGCTCCGGTCAGTTGGCCAATTCCCGCTATATCACCGGCCATCTCACAAAATTGCAGCGCAATTTTATATGGCGAGATATCTTGGCACGAGGTGAGTACAGCCTTGGAGCCTTGTCAAAGCTGATAGTCACCCAGCAAGTGTCCTATCATGTCGCAGCAGCGACGAAATCTCTGGGTTTTCTGGAATTTCCATGATGCAAAGCAACTGTTGATCGTGTCTGTGAAAACCCGGAAGCTCGGCTCTAGGGAGACTTCAGTGGTTGAACGACCAGCCAAGGCCACAATGCCACGCAATTTCAAGATGTGATCTCCGAGTTCTCGATCCCGCTGATTTTCTCTCTTCTTCATCAAACCCCCCCCCCCCACCCCCGCAAGCCCGCAAGTGGGGGGGTAATCTTCTGAGCCTCCCTGTTCGGGATGTAACCCTGTGCGCGAAACGTCATCAGCCTGGAGGAGCAGCAACACCCGAGCGCGTCTCTTGGACATCGTGGACATTTTCCAGAGTTCAGGACTTGCGCGCGTTTCGATGCCCAGATTGGCGTCACAACTGCCGCCTCCGGCAACGCCATCTGCACTTCTGATTCGGGCAGAGAGGTACCATCTCCGGGAATTCCCAACGCACTCCCGAGATTCTTCGTGTCCGAGAATGTCCCACACCCGGGGTCGGTCCTCGGCCAAGCCAAGACCGATCAATCGGTGTGTGGTAGGTGTTTCTCTCTCACCGTCGACAGGTTGTTTGCTTTTTGTTGACTTTGACCCTACATCGACACGACAACCAAATGTTTTGCACAACTGTCGAGCAGAAAAGCGGTAAAAAATGGCGGGGACATGCAACAGCTATCAAAAGGAAGAGTCTGCATGAAGTCAAAGAGGAATAGCATGAGGGGTTGGAGGACCCCTTCGACACGTGGTGAGACATGGAGCGCCAATTCACCAAGAAAACTCTTATTTTCTCACGCTACTGCTGATTGCTGGCAGGAGGAATGCAGTCTTTTCAGAGTCGAGACCCGCTTTGACGCCCGTCGAGACACACCTGCGTCGTCGTCGGGTCGGATGCTGTCGAGGATCATGGTTTGACAGCATGAAGGTGAAGTTTGCAAAGAAAACACCCACCCACCAAATCGGGCCTCTCACCACCATCTTCAACACCCCTGTCTCTGCAGGATGCCCCCCGCCATTCAATGGCGGCTCAGCGCGAAGAAAAGCACAGCACAGGGCAGGTTCGGATGTCGACGCCAACACCGATTCTGACATCATCTTTTTTCCAGTGATCCGACCAAGGATTCGGTGCATGCACCCCACTCCCATCAAATAGCCAGGATTTTCTTCTCTTCCAGCAACCTGTTTTGTTCCACTTAATGAAGGGAAGTATATCACGATATATCACGACTCGAATCCTGTCCGTTGGCTGTATTACTCGATCGGTATTCAGTCAAATCCGGGCAACGGAACCAGCCCGGTAAGAATGCATGAATTGCTTGGTGCTCGGAAGGCTCACCGGCAAAATGGCACCCTGAAACCAAGGGACGGGCAGCAAAGAGGACACAATGGCAGAAGCAGAGCATCATCAGCCCGTCAATATTAGCCATTTCGATATTCACCGTGCAGTTGATTCATAGGATGAACCCAACTCTTGTGTCCTGATGAACTGCCGGGTCGTGTCACTGTGATCCCTTCGGTTTCTGCCTGCAGTCAAACAGGGTCCTTGCTTCAGCAGCCTCCACCAACCACCTCCCTTTTTCTGTACGGAGATATCTTCCGTACCGTTCATCTCTCCCTCTCCTTGCCGCGTCTAATCGCTTTGACAATATTTTTTATTTTTTTTGGCGCGAGGTTGATCAGACGACAAACCTCACTGCCGCCGTTGAAACAAAAAGGAGGTCCAAACTCCATACCCAAGCCCCCTGAAACAACTTCATCGACACGACAGACTATTTCGGCAGTCGGGCACGCTACACCACATCATTGAGATTCTAGAATCTTTTTTGGTTATTCTTAGCGATTTTTTTTTTGATTTTTTTGATTTTTTTGACACTTTGACGTCTCTTGGAACCCCACCGGCAATAGACTTGAGGGGCAAGGCAAGCCTCATGATCTGGTGTCGTGCATCGCCGGGTTTGGTAGCTGAAACGTGGGTGTTGAGATCCCCTTGATTGATCTGACGGAGGGAAAAAAGTCTGGGGAGCCCTGACAGGCTGAAAGGCTTGCTTTGGGAAAGATCTTGGGTTTGTTTTGAGGGGGTGGTGAGCCCCTGGTGTGTTTACTGCTCTGGCTGTATTGTTAGCTTAATGGTTCGAGGTTGGGGGATACAGAATAAGTTATGTGAAGCTGGATGAGAAACTGAGTATCTGTGCCGAGAGCTATTTGCCTAACATGAGCTTTCATTGAGCTTAGTCTCAGGGGAAATGGGCAATGCTCTGAGAAAGGAGCTCTTGCTTTGTAGAATGTCGTTCTGCCAAATGAGCCTCAGTAGAATATTAACACATTAAAAGGCCCAAGACATACCTCTTTCCATGTCACTCCCATAGCATCACACAAAACACCATCCCAAAAACAAACCACCTAGTGTAAGCATCTGTGTATAACTTCACAGACTCAATCGATTAAAAACTACCTAAAAACTCAAGGTACCGTGTATTCCAAAACAAACAACGGGGTAAGGGGGGTTTAACACCTCTTCGCCGCCGTCAGAATAATACAAAAACAAACATTTGTAATATCTCAAGAAGTGAAACCCCTTTCTCTCTTTTCCTTTAAACAATAATGTCAATCTTTCTTGAACCCCTTCCTTGCACTTTTCACTCCCCGTTTCCCTGATTTTCCTTATCTTTTTCTCAAACTCCATCCAAAAAAAATCACCAAACATACTCCTTTCTTAACCCCCCTTGAAAATTCCACCAAACTGAAAAGATTCCTCCCTCAAAAAAGCCCCCCCCCCCCTGTGATAAGAATACTCAAAACATCCGGAAAAGAAATGCTCTCAAGAATTAAAGAACATAATCCCTCACGCCCCTAAACCTCGCCCTAACTGTCGCCGTCGCCGTCGCCGTAGCCGTGACATCCGTCTCTGCCGTGGCAGTTACCTTATCCGTAGCGGTAGCGGTAACGACAACAATGACTGGGTCGTTTTGGCCTTGTCTCTTCTCTACCCTGCCGCCATCGTCTTCCTGCCCATTGACATTATCGACCCGCCGGTTGTTAGGGGATGCGATAAATGCCCCTTCTTCTTCGCCGCCGTTGGGGATGAATTCACTGCCGAAGAGGGACTCAGACGTAGTGGAATCATCCGAGGTGATGGTGCCTTCATCTCCGCCGCCGTTGGGAATAAACTCGTTACCGAATTCAGAGCCCGTCTCGACGCGGGAGTCGGAAGTGAGACCATCTCCAGAAAATACAATGCCCTCTTCACCGCCCCCGGGAACAAACTCTGCTCCAAAGTCGGATTCTCCCCCGGTTCTCGCTCCAAAACCAGTGCCTTCTTCCTCTCCGCCCCCCGGGACGAATTCACCCCCAAAGTCTGACTCGACGTTATTGGTGTTGTCGTTGTTGGTATTGATGTTGACAACAGGAGTGTCGGGATCTACAACGATCCCTCCTGCCACGCCAGATCCCTTGCCCTTTCCTACGATGGAGGGAGTGGCAGAGGCGGATGAGATGGCTCTAGCTGGGGCCACAGTGGTGGGAGCTTCTGCTACGATGCCGCCTGCTGCTCCGCCTTGTTGGCGGGCTGGTCGGGCGGTGGATGAGGATGATGAGGAGGCAACTGATCTGACGGGCATGCTGATTCCTTGTTGTTGTTGGGCGGGGATGGTGAAGCGGCCGGACGTACCGCCGAGACCGAGTGGTACTCTTGCTGGTGGTGTTGTTGAACTGGATGTGGCTGAAGAGCGTGAGCTAACTCTGCCTTGGGAAACAGAAATGGACGCTTGGCCTGGTGCTCCGGCTCCAGCTCGCACAGGAGTCACAGAGCTTGAAGTGCTGAAGCTGGGAGAACCAGCCGGTCCTCCAGCACCAACGTTCACCGAAGCAGAAACCGGCAAAGCGCCCACTCCGACATCAATCGAAGCGGACACAGGTCCGACTCCAATAGCTTGTCCACTCAATGGCAGTCTCCCTGCTGCTGCCGCCCTCGAAGCCGAAGCCGAAGCCGAAGCCGAAGCTGAAGAGGCGGACGCGGCCCTTGCCGAACTCTCTGCTCTCAGAGCACTGAAAACCGCCGCAGCCGTAATCACATCATTGCCCCCTATCCCAGCTGCGCTCAAGAAACTCGCCCTGCTTGCACTGCTCACACTCGCCACAGAAGCGACGCTCGCCCTGCTCGCGCTCGCAAGTGACGCACTGCGCACACTGGCACTGCTTGCGCTTCTCTGACTGGCAAACACTGACGCTGCCGTGATAACCACTGGTACGGTGGTGCCAGAGATGGAAACCATGACGCTTCCTGTTGTTGTAGCAGAAACAATACCCACGCTTGTGCCAGAGACGTCAATCTCGACGATGATGGCCTCGCCTTGTTGACGTCCAGCTTGGGCCTGCGAGACGGCGGCGGAGGCTTGACGGGCGGCGCCATTGACTGTGAGGTCGACAGTTGTTGTGCGAGTGGTGGTGAAATCTACTAGTGTTGTGCGGGTTGAGGTTGTGGTGGTGGAGGAGGAGAGGATGGAAACGCGGAAGATGGAGACAGTGGAGGTGGAGGTGATGGTGTTGGTTGTTGAGGTGGTCTGGATCATGTGTTAGTTTCACAGGCGAAAAAGAGGGGGCTCAGGGGGCGTTCAGGGGGGACATACCGCGGAAGTTGTGGTGGTGGTGCTGGATGTGCCGGTTGTAGTTGTCGACGAGGTGGATGTGGAAATGGTTGTCGTAGTGGAGCTGGATGTGCTAGTTGTTGCGGTCAGGGAGGTCGAGGTGCCGGTTGTGGTTGTGCTGGCTGAAGTGATGGTTGTTGAGATGGTGGAGGTGCCAGTTGTGGTTGTGCTAGGCACGGTGGTGGTTGTTGAGGTCGTCGCCGTGCCAGTGGTTGTTGTGCTGGATGTGCTGGTGGCGGTCGTCGACGTCGTTGCGGTGCCGGTAGTTGTGGTGCTGGATGTGCTGATGACCGTTGTTGATGTCGACAATGTGGACGTCGTCCGCGTGGTGGATGTCTCCGTTGTGGTGCTGCTTGTGGAGATGATAGTCACTCTGAAGACGGAGACGGAGCTGGAGCTGGTGCTTGTTGTTGTTGTCGTCGTCGTCGACGTACCCGTGGTAGTGGTGCTCGCTTGGGTGAGGGTAGTCGACGTGGTTGACGTGCCAGTGGTAGTGGTGCTAGTTGTGCTTGTCGTCGTCGTCGAAGTTGTCGCCGTGTTTGTCGTCGTGGAAGTCTGCGTGCTGGTGGTGGTTGTGGACGTCGTGGCGGTGCCAGTGGTAGTTGTGCTGCTTGTACTGGTGGCAGTCGTGGACGTTGTGGTGGAGAAGGTGGACGTGGTGCTTGTTGTGCTTCTTGCCGTGGTGGACGTCGTGGTGGAAAAGGTGGACGTGGTGCTGGTTGTTGAGACGCTGGTGGAAGTGCTACCGCTGATGGTGACTCTGATGACGGTAGCGGAGGACGTGGTGGTTTCTGTGGTGGTCGTCGAGCTGGTTGACGTGTTCGTAGTGGTTGTGCTCGTAGTTGCCGTGCCAGTGGTGGTGGTACTGCTGGTGGATGTCCCCGTTGTTGTGGTGCTGGCCGAGGTGAGCGTGGTTGAAATCGTCGTTGTGCCCGTGGTTGTTGTGCTGGCCTGGGTGGTGGTGGTCGAGGGGGTTGATGTGCCAGTGGTCGTCGTACTGCTTGTGCTCGTTGCCGTGGTTGTTGTGGAGACGGTCGATGTGGTGCTCGTCGTGGAGAGGGTTGTTGACGTGCTGCTAGTTGTTGCGATGGTAACCCTGATGACCGTTGCCGAGGAGGTGGTGGTTGACGTGGTTGTCTGGTGGATGTGGAAGTGGTTTGGCTGAGCGAGGTGGACGTAGACGTTGTTGTCGTCGTAGTGCTAGATGTTGCCGTCCCGGTGGTGGTGGTGCTGCTTGTTGACGTGGTTTGGCTCGTGGATGTGGTGGTTGTGGTGGTGCTTGACGTCGCCGTGGCCGGTAGTCGTAGTGCTGCTCGTTGTGGTGGTTCGACTGACAGAGGTGGACGTGGAGGTGGTGGTTGTCGTGGTACTGGAAGTCGACGTCCCTGTCGTCGTCGTGCTACTTGTCGAGGTGCCGGTAGTTGTCGTACTGGTTGTCGATGTCCCCGTCGTCGTCGTGCTGCTCGTTGATACCGAAGTTGTCGTGGTTGTAGTACTGCTTGTTGACGTGCCGGTGGTGGTAGTGGAAGTTGTCTCGGTGC